TGACCCAAAATCCAAAACTTTTTTTAAAAATCTCCAAAAAAGGGATAAGTTTTTATTAGGTCATTGGGATCTTGACTCAGCTGATCTGTTGCTATCTGTTTCAGCCATCATGTGTTGAAAATGAATATTTGGATATTTTTGCTTCTGCTGTTATGAGAAGGGGAACAAAAATTTTGAAAATCATGAGCCCAAACTCCCTGGGACCTGGGGGATGGGTTAAAAACCACAAACAATTATGTATTCTTTAAAAAACAATTGCATTGTTATAACTAATGAGCAAGGGCGATTCTTGCAATTTTTATGATGTGTTTTTCAGGGTGTTGGAGTCTAGATGATGTTCTCTCGCTGTCATTTTTATTTGCTTCAGTCTGAACGTTTATTAACTCTGCAACTTCTGGGAGGTTCAGACCTCCTGACCTCTCTCCCATCGATTGAATTGTTCTAGGGATTTTGTTGTTATGTGGTAGGGCTACATTTTAATACGAACATACATTAATTCTGAAAATCCTATTCTCTGCCCATGGGATTGAGCATATGAAGTAAATACATTGTTATGATGAGCAATGGAACTTCTTTATAAGTTGTAATTGCATATGGTCCCTGGGTCAGGAGTTATGATGAGTAAGGTCTCTTCCAAAATTGTGAATTCTTGGCCGCTAAATATTTTTCATTATAGGAAATATGGCTTGATTGAATATACATGTATAGTGAGAATAGAATATTTCAATAAAACTCTTTTCATCTAGGAGGCAGAGTACACATTTGTAATGAACATTGGTTTTTTTTTTTTTACTGAGTTTGTAAAATTAGTCAAAAGTTTTGGTGCTGGGCAGGCCCCGGGACCACTTAAGTCAAATCTTCAGTCGCCTGTAAAATATTTATTAATTATTAAATTAAAATGGCAAATAACAGCACTTTTGTGAGTTAATATTGAAACAATTTAATTTTGATGTGCTTTACCTCCCAAACATTTAAGTGAACCATATTGAGATAATGAACAGTATTTAAGATCAAAAGTCCAGAAAACAATACAAAATAGGAGCAGAGCAAACATGGACCTCCAAAACATTGAAGGTGGGATCAGGTACTGCCATGGAGGAGTAAGCGTTTTCCGCTGACAGGTATAATATAGATTTTGACTTAAGCTTAAGATGTTTCATGATCCCGGGATTTCTGTTGATTTTGTAAAGAAATATTTACTTTTAATACTGATGTCCCTCCCTTTATTATTTACCTTTCAAATTAATAATTATTCATCTTTAACTACTGGTATATCATTCATTTGATAAGTCAGTCGAATCAAGGAATCATACAAGATCTTTCGATGTAAAATACAGAAAGTTAACTTTCACCGTTTTCAATGATCAGATAGATATGTAAATTAATACATGTACTGGATGAATAAAAAAGAGACAAAGATATCTCAATATTTATCATGTTTATTTCAATAAATATAAATTCAATAAATGTTCTTCAAAGACCATGAGAGGCCAATTCAAGAGGAAGTGTATCTAGTTTACTGTATGCTCAATTATTACTATTGTTTTGTTTAATCATGCCTACATACGGATAGTGACAAATAAGAGTGTTTTAGTACTGCATGACAAGTATTATGTTTTGCTAATGAGTATATGAGAACTATTTTGTTGGTACTTCTATATATCGGTTTGTTTCATACTTTTATAAACCCTGTACGTATTGTGTGATACTAAGGTAGGCCTCTTGTATATTATAGATATTACAACACAGTGATGCATATCACTGCAGATACTTGATTTTCGTAACCCTTTTGATATATGTTAGAGCAACAAACAGATTGTCATCTGTATCTGTACACAGTCCCATGGGACTACTCAGTCTACAGTCTATGTAACAGAGGAACTGTCCATCCTGGTCTATGATGTGGACACAGTAATTGTTAATATCAGCTGTAAGGATGTGACTCTGACTGTCTGTGGTGATTCCTTGTGGAGTGAATGGTTCATTCCTTGGAGCAGGAGTATGTCCAGTGTACCTGAATCTCAGTTTCCCGGCCTGATTGACCACCACTACTGCATTAGCTTTCCAGTCAGACACACAGATATCCAGGTTCCTGTTTTCAGTTATGTAGTTTGTGTTATTACCACCAGATGAATAGAGAGGTTTACCCTTATAATCAAACTGAATGGTTTGTTTCTCTGTGGAGCCAGAGTATCGGACAACTTTTGTTTGTGTGTAATCATCACTGTTCATGATAACCAGGAGGTCACCAGAGGAGGTACTACAGACATCGTTAGGTTTCCAGTTCTGTAGTCTGATCACCTCCTCTATCTTCTCATTCTTCACAATGTTCACAGTTCTATCATCAGTAAAAAATAGATCTCCACTTTTTGTCACTGCTATGTCATCTGGTATGTTTCCTGACTTGGTTGTGATTGACTTGAGTAGTGATCCCCGATTGATGCTTAAATGTTTCATGGTGCTGTCATTTCCGCTTGTCCAGATTTCTTCATCACTAAGACAGGCCACATTATAAAGGTATCCATACCCAGTGTGTATGGTGGTGACAGTCTCGGGTTCATCAAGCAGCTGTTTGACTGGAGGAGAGGATCCAGCTTCTGGTGATTTCTGTGTTGTCTTCATGCTGTAGCCATGTTGATCTAAAGTTAAAGAATTTGATGATATGGTTCCAAACAGATTGTTTAAATCTTCTCCTTGGATTTTTTCTGGACTAAATTTAGGTAAAGATAACATAATTTTGGGAGGAAGATTTCTGTATAAATGTACACTAGATGTAACACAAAACAATTTTGACATGTCATTAGCATCTATTGCAGTTTCCATTGAATTGATTTCTCCCTTGATGTCAGACATTGTCTTGTTTATTTCATCCAGATGTTTCTGTAGAGTTTGTAACTGTGTGTTTTTCATCTCATCAACTTCATGCAGCTTTAAGTTTCTTGACAAGTTTGTCAATTTCTCTGTGCCAGTCCTCTCCATGTTTTGTTATGGCTGTTGAGAGATCTCCATATTCCTTTTCTAACTGACTCATTCTGTTTTGTACATCAGAGGCAATGCCCTGATATGTAGGATAAACTGCTTCATATAATTCATTTTTCTCTTTTGAAACTATGTCTTTCTTTTCATCCAGAGCTCGCAGAATTTTATATAATTCATGACCTAAATGTTGATTAGATTCAAGGCAGCTGATGCAGACAGGAATGTCACATTTTTTACAGAACATTTCACATCGCTCTCCATGAGATGTACATCCAGGATAGAGGGGAGCAGATTTTCTCAGCTTAAATGGGACAATTTCATGTTTTTTGGATTCATCAGATATCACATGTTTTCCTACACAAGCTGTACACAGGTTGACAAGACATGTATCACAGTGCATCTGTACCACAGCGGTCTCACACAGGTCACATCGCATCACATCCTGGGCAGTGGTACAAGGGTCCATTATTATAGATTCTGTATATAACTACCTGTGAAAGCATAAAATGTTCAATTTTAGTCTTGGAAAAACCTATCATAATGGTTATGTTACTGGAAATATAACGTTTGTTTAAGTCAGCACTCAAGATTTTCTGGAAGAAAAACTCAGGCGCTGATCCAGGAATTTTTCTGGGAGGGGTCCACCACAGAAGAAAATTTCATCCCAGAAACTTTATGACAAGCACAATAACAAATACCTCTCCCAAACCTGAATAACCTTTGGAGGGCCGTTTACTTCTGTGGTAGTTGTACTTTTTATATTTTATTAGGCTTTATTACTGTAAAAAATCACATATTTTCGTGGGGTCAAATTTTCGTGGTTTGGGTAAAAATTCTTGGTTAGTGGGGATTTGAATTCGTGATTGAAGAATTCTCGAGTAGTTTATCTGCATGTAAATTTTTCATTTCGTGCTGGATATGAATTCGTGGGTCTTAATACCTAAAAAAAAAACAACGATAATTACCCCCCCCCCCCCGAAAATTTGTGATTTCACAGTATTTTGACTTCTCATACCTACTTAATGCGGATCCACAATTTCTAGGAAGTACGTTCCAAAGTGAGTCTAATAACTCTAAAAATTCTGAGGGCGGGGGTGCCCCCCGGCCCCTCACTATAGATTCTTTCATAAAACTGCTATTAAAAAAATTTGCTTTTTTATACAAAAATTGCTAAAATTGACAGAAAATGGTAAACTTAATGATGCCATGCATGTTTTTTTCTCCAAATTATTAGCATTTCGATAGATTCAAAGTCCAAAAAACTCACATGTATTAGTTTTACGAAGTAAACCTATGTAGAAACTAAAATAAAACTACCATTAATATTTCTTTTTTTTTTAAAAAAAGAGGCTGGCCGCTGGGTGTTCACGGCCATTTTTTCACTATTTTGATCTCCTTTAGAAGAAGAGCTCTATATAAAGATATAATAAAATGATAAAATTTCAAAACTAAAATTTATGAAATTTTTCTTTACCAAATGATAGTTGACGGCTTAAGATATCATATCAAAAAACTTTAAAATAAGTTATATCTGGTGGTTAATAAGAAAATAATTTGTTGACCCACTAGCCTCCTTAAAGTAACGACACATCATGATTGTAGACGGACAAGTCACATCTTCCCAAGTCAAGAGTTTCTGATCCGCTCCGCTCCACATATTTTATGTGGTGCGGAGCGGATCAGAAACTCTTGACTTGGGAAGATGGACAAGTCATTGTCTGCAGAATTTCTTTGAATCTTTGTGAAAAGGAAAAATGTTTAGCAATACTTAGATTATACGCCTCCTATTTTCCTTACCTGACTGCAGTAACGGTGATCTTCATATATTCACTCTATAATCACGTGACGTAGCTGTGTTATCTATACCTGTCAGGTGATTTTGATTTACTTCCTGGTCCAGAATGGGATTTAAATACTTTAAAAGCAATTACAAATTAGAGATGTTTTCCCTGATTTTAGGATAATATAAAATTTTACATACAGAAATTTAGGGGGGGGGGGGGTCATATTGCACGCCCGGCGCGCCGGCCCTGGATCCGCCTTTGCTGTTTCCGTTGTGGGACTGAGGTACAGCGGACATAAACATTAATTTGAACTTTATCAGAATGATTCTTCTCTTGAACTGCTGTATCACGTGATTCACAAAATATGAATTGGCATTTTACAAAAAGATTCGGCGGGTAGGATTATTTAATTGATACCTCCATTTCTTTTTATCTTTGTGAGTCTGAATCGGATTTATAAATAAATTATAATTATCTTAAGCATTGATAATACATGTATCATCAGAAGTTAAGGTACCTCACACATGTCATTAAGCTTTTTGGGGAAAAAATATCAGTATCGATTTCTACTCCCATTTTTTCTTTGGTTCATTATTTATTTGATAAGAGAAAAAACATTTAATTACTGGGATATATAGCTATTACCCCCCCCCCCCAAAAAAAAATTGTATTTAGGGATTCAAAAGCAATTTCTGTCAATTTTTTCCTGCAATGTATGCTGAAAAAATTAACCATGTGAATGGGAATTAAGCAAATAAATCGATCTTTCTCTAAAAAAGTTTAATCATTCACAAAGCAAAAATTGAGACAAAATCTACCGGTTGAAATTTTGAAATGGAAATTGAGCTATTTTTTTAAACATTAAGTTATATTTCTCTCCATGGAATCAATTTCCATTTATTTAAAGATAACAGTTGATCTTGAACCAACATTTATTTAAAACAAGTAATAACTAGTGCTAATTGTAACGGGGACCGTTACAGATGTTCCCCAAACGCTCCCCAACTCCCTTTTGGTGCCATATTCCCTATAAGCATCATTAAATAAGACAACCTCTATGCATTTGAAACTTTAACAACGTTTACTCTGAAGTGTACCAATTTCATCCAAATTTTAGCATTGCACGCGTGCGCATGTGAATGCACGTGCGTAATGACTACATAATCTTGTCTTCACAACCTATAGATTTTAATATACTAAATATCAAAGTATTTAATCCAAAAGTATTAAAAAATACGCTAATTCAAATGTATTTTAGTTTTACTCATTTCACGTGCACACACATGCTCACATGAGCATGGCGACCATACCTTCTTGTAGAAGTCCATTATATCTATCCATGTTCCCAATCCCATCCTGTTTGGTTGAAAACCAAGGGAGTTATAGCTGTTCAAAGATTCAGCCAATCAGATTGCAACGCACGTGTATGCACGCGTTTTCATGATAATTGCTATACATCTTATTGTAGGATATCCTAATACATGCCTATGTTTAAAATTTCAAAGGATTTCGTCAAAAAACAAGAAAGATATTGAGACTTTAGTTTCAGCCAATCAGAGCGAAGCGCACGTGCATGCGTGTGAGATCTTGCTTTTTTGACCATGTCATCTTGTCTATGCTTCTAATATATACTTCTAATATGAGTTTTAAAGCATATCATCAATAATTTGAATAGTTACGTCTGTATCAATTATATTGGACATTTCTCGTGTTGCACGTGCGAGCACTTGCAAGCACACGTGCATGCACATGCTTTCATGATATTTCTTTTATTACGGGCTGTAGATCTCCCTAATGTATGACTATGTTCAAAATTTCAAAAGATTTTAACAAAAAACAAGAAAGATATAGAGACTTTAGTTTCAGCCAATCAGAGCGAAGCGCACGTGCTTGCACGTGCGATCTTGCTATTTTGACCATGTCATCTTGTGCATACTACTCATATATCCTTACATTATGAGTTTCAAAACATTTCGTCTAAAATTAGAAAAGTTACGGTTATATCCATTATATATTGGTCATTTCAAGTTTTGCACGTGCGCGCTCTTGCAAGCACGTGCGCGCAAAATGACCTTGATTCCGCAAATCTACATAACATGCCTACTTACCCTAAAAAGGTTTCACCTAAGTCAAATGTGTAGTTTACAAGATCACTCGCGGACAAAATTTTCCCAGGAAGAAAAATAATAATAATAAGAATAACTAGTGCTAATTGTAACGGGGACCGTTACAGATGTTCCCCAAACGCTCCCCAACACCCTTTTGGTGCCATATTCCCTGGAAGCTTCATTAAATAAGACACACTCGATGCATTTGAGACTTTAACTACGTTAACCCAGAAGTGTACAAAGTTCATTCAAATTTTTGCATTGCACGCGTGCGCATGTGAATGCATGTGTGTAATGACCATATCATCTTGTCTACACAATCTATATATTTGAATATACTAAATATTAAAGTATTTAATCCAAAAGTATTAAAAAAAGATGCGCTCATTCAAGTGTTTTTTTGGATTTTGCTCATTTCACGTGCACGCATGTGCATACTTGAGCATGGTGACCATACCTTCTTGTAGATGTCCGTTACATCTATCTATGTTCTAAATCCCACCCCGTTTGGTTGAGAACCAAGGGAGTTATAGCTGTTTAAAGTTTCAGCCAATCAGATTGCAGCCCACGTACATGCACGTGTATGCATGTGCATGGTGACCATTTTTTCTTGTAGTAGACCAGTATATCTATCTATGTTCCAAATCCCATCCTGTTTGGTTGAAAATCAAAGGAGTTATAGCTATTTAAAGTTTCAGCCAATCAGATTGCAGCGCACGTGCATGCACGTGTTTTCATGATAATTGCTATATATCATGTTGTAGGATATTGTAATGCATGGCTATTTTCAAAATTTCAAAGGATTTCGTCAAAAAACAAGAAAGATATTGAGACTTTAGTTTCAGCCAATCAGAGCAAAGCGCACGTGCATGCGCGTGAGATCATGCTATTTTGACCATGTCATATTGTCTATGCTACTAATATATCCTTATGTTATAAGTTTTAAAGCATTTCATCAAAAATTTAAAAAGTTACACCTATA